GTGGCTGAGTGGATATGGCACTCTCGCCTTCAGCAAGAAGGTCCTGGGTTCGAATCCCGGTCGGACCAGGGCTTTCTGAATGGGAGTTTGCATGTTCTCCCCGTGTTCTCCCGCGAGTGGGTTTTCCTCCCGGATACTCCACGGTTTCCCCTACCCACTAAAACATATGTACATAGGTATGGCATGCGCCTCCTATACTTGGCGAGGCCCCCGCCTCCATCTCTGATGTGGAGCGATACGCTCAGATCACCCATGCCCACAACTAATTACCAATTGTTAAACGCTTGACGACTCTGATGTGCAGATGAAAAGACGGTAATATACACACCCAACCACCGCCTATCTTACACCCTTAACTCCTCACACCCTGTCAAAAGCACCCCCTTCCTGGCCAAAGACTAGCTGGGCTGGGCTGAACCTCAACCACTCCTGCACAGCTTCACGCCCGCAGCAAACAGCACAAGGGGACCACTTTACTTTCTGTGGGACTCAAAAGCCGTGCTTCCTCAACAAGGACTTCCCACAAGCATGCCCCCCCCCCACGCCCCAAGCTCTCCCCGAGTTCCCAACCGTTACTTATGAACGTCGAATATAGTGCACTGGTGGGTGCTGAATGACAGTTCGCGCTCGACAGTCGTTTCCCGCCGTCACCTCACCTCCCAAATGTACGTTGATGCAACGTCAATTCAAGGTTTGTATGTGGTTACGGAACGGTCGGGTCTGACGTCCTTATCAAGTCTCATATGGACCAAAATATTGACGTTTATATGACGTTCGTTTCAGTCGTTCCCACTAAGCAGCAGATGTCAAAACAACGGTAAATTTCAACGTCATCTGGACGTTAATTCAAGGTTGCATGTGGTACAGAACCGGTCGGGTCCGACGTCCTATCAAAGTCTTATATGACAAAATATTGCCTGCATATGACGTTCGTTTTCCGTTGTTCCCACTAAGCAAGCAGATGTCAAAACACTGTCATTTTCTCAACGTCATTGGACGTTATCTGGACGTTCAAATGACGTCGCGGCCACGATCATTCAAGGTTGCAATGTGGTACAGAACCGGTTCGGGTCCGACGTCCTCTCGACGTCTATTATGTCCCACAAATATTGAGGTTTATATGCTGGGTCCATTTACAGTTCTATTGACCTACTTACCTCTGCAGAAACACTTAACTGGTCAGACATACTTTTTGCAATAGGGCAAGGCAAGTTTATTTGTATAGCACAGTCAAAAACAAAGGAAACTCAAAGCACTGAACAAAAAGTAGAAAACCGAATCAATAACAGCATTACCAATTATTAAAATATTGACAGTAAATCTAAAAAGCGAAAAATACAATCTCTCATAAAATCTCTCGTTGAAAGCAGAAACAGATGTGTTTTAAAACCTGGATTTAAATTGTTCAAGAAGACGCCTGACTCCCATTTCCCGGAAGACCGTTCAGAATTTTAGCCTGTGAATCTGAAATGCAGCTCTATTCATGTTTAGTTGATCTGGGCAATAACCGATAAACACAGCATCTCAAAAATCCTTAGAAAACTGTAGGTAGGAAGGATATTCAGTCATTATTGAAAATGGAGCTGCATTAAAAAATCATGTTTCTCTACTCAAAGTACCAAGTTAAAGCACACAGGGCACAGTGTATGAACACTACTGTTACTTGAACAGTTCATGCCAAAGTAAAAAAAAATGATTGTAGCACCTCTGTTTGGATCAGTATTATTAAAACAGGCACACGCTACACTCTAGGTTTCCCCCAGATGTACAAACCAACTGAAAGGCAGAAGGAATGCCTTTATGTGAATGTGAGGTGTTCCAACATGGTGTCCATCTCTTGGTCTTCAGTCTCCTCATCACAAGGTCCAAGCACAGCACCTGAAAATGTGGAACCATGTTTTAGTTTCAACATAATGTCGGCAAAATGATATAAACACAAACTTTCTATTTACGGCCTCCATACCCCTCGATCCATCTACATGTGATTCAACCTTGGCTCTGCCACTCGCTTGAGACACTGGAAGACACCTCTGTATGAGAATACTTGGGATAAGGCTTTGGTCATTGGTGTAATTCATGTAAAAAACCAATTGGAAATGTGCATTAGTTTTGGCACATGGACACAAAAGAGCCCTGAAAGCTACTTACCCTGATTAACTCTACACATGTTGCATTTCCGCAGGGGGCATTTTTCCCTTGTTGGCTTCTCCTCCCCCTTCCCTCTCTCCTCCCCTTTCCCTCATCTTGAGTGAGTTGCTGAACAATCGGAGAAAAAGATGTTTTTCCCACAAAAAGAGAATACACCAAAATAATGGTTTATTCTAAAAACAACATAATAATACAGAAGAACAATCAATGTGTGAGAGTGTGATTTGCTTACCTTTGAAACCACCTTCAACACAGTTCTGACACCTGTAAGACTCAAACACACCATGAACATTAGGAATACACACAGAACATAGTTATTGCAACATCATGGCAATTATACTCTATGGATTTCACAATTAATTGACTGCTTTGCAAAGGTAAATGTATTTTAATTAACATATGGTGGTTTTAAGTTTATAAGCAAAAAAGTATGTGAAATAGAATAGAGTTGCAAGCGTAGTCCTAGCTTGCTTACCAGGCAGATGAATGGATATTTAATATTTGCAGCTAAACAATAAACAAAAATAAACAACTGTAGTGGCTCATTTTAAACGCCACAGTGAGCTAGAAGTGAAAGTCTCTGACATTGAAGACCTGGGAAGACATTAAATCATTCTATTAAACAAAAGCAATACATGAACATTTAAACTCTCTTTCTGCGAAGGTAACAACTGTGTTGCTTCCTATGGTCCCCTCATGGTCCAACATGGTCCCACACCTGAACTCAACTCAACTGATGACATCACAGGTGTCTAAATGATGGGAGTGTCCCAAATATTAAGCTGATCTTCCCTGTTTTTAAACTTAGTTTACTAAGTATGTGGTCTTTTTGCAGTTTATCATCCATTGTGAAATATACAGTTACTTTGATAATAATTGGAATTATTATTTAAAACTCAAGAATTTAACCTTTTGTAACACATAGTTTGTTGGACACCGTCTAACCTAAGAATTCTTAATGTGCTAAAAATAGTTTGAAATATGAAACAATCTTCATATTTTAAACTTTAACTTAAAAACTAAAAAAGGAGTCTCCCTTTCAGCTGAGCAGTGCCAGCCGTTTATAATTATAGATTCATGCACTGGCAATTCAAAATACAGATAATCTACAAAATATACTTAACAAATTCCACGTATACGTGGGAAAACAACTTCTTTCGGTCTCCAACTCTTGTCAATGTGGACATGATACATCTATAATCTAAAAACCTGTGCAGGACTGGTGTATTACTAGAGGGGGGGGGGGGTTGGTAGGGTGCTTCCAGTAAATAAATAAGCAGGGCAGCGACAGAGGTACAGATTCAAACGTCTGGGATGGCATTGCTCTTGACGTCCAGATGCACACCATACGTCGATTACGACGTGGAAAACAGGGCCTCGACCGACTCACATGTCGGCTGTAATCGTATAAGTGTGCGTCGGTTGTTTTAGGGATGGCTTATTTATTTTTTCACAGTAGTCGAAAAAAAGCTGGCATGGTGTAGCGGTGCGTAATGAGACTTCAGTCGCATCGACGCAGGTTAATCCCGGCGGAAAATGTTTGACTTTTCACTTTTAGCGAACAATTTTTTGTTTGGTTAAAAACGAATAAACACTCCAGAATAAGATTATGTAGTGGCTACATAATAAAACTGTGAAAACCATGCATTTTGCTTAATATCTCAAGTGCTCACCCCTATTTACAAACTTGGGGTTTGTTAGCACAACAAATGATACCATTCACAAAGTTTTTATTATCTAGCCACTACGTAATCCTAAGTTGAGTGTTATTTGTCTTTAGACCAAAAGAAAAATTGTTCGCTTAAAAATCGAACCAAATATGTAAAGAAGGTTAACTGCAAAAGCCAGATTGATGATTGTGTAGAACTCTAACGCGTTCTCCGCGATATCAATCTGGGATTTCTCCCGGAGAATCCTTTCGGGGAAAGGAGGGGTAAGCAGCAGAATACTTGAAGCTGATTGGGCGAAGTGACGCTGTGTGCCCGCCTACCAAGGTTGCCGTCCAGAAATGTACAAAGCGCCTCTCGCTGTTCATCTTTCAAAAAAGAAATTGGAGATTCTGCTAAAACTGACTTTGCGTCCGTCCTCCTGCGTAGCCATGTTTGTTTTGCTTCGGCCCGGCACTTCTTGCTTTCGTCAAACCCGGATATCCCGCCCTAAACCCCCAGACTGGCGCGTGATTGGCTCGCACACCCAGTGGTTCGACTCGAAAAGTGTAAGCGGGAGCGGTACAAGATGTATTCTCGAGTGTTTGTGAACTCACAAATACCGCGAGAATTCAGCTTGCAGGCAAGGTTATACTTAAGGTAGGTTTAACACAAATATTTATCATAATGACTTTGAAACTACAAAAAAAATCATCTAATCCACATTCCTAACAATTGGAACTGTGAATTTTTCAATTGTATTTTTTTGTATAGCCTAATCAGCCCTCCTCGGCTCTTTGTACACAGGCAGTATTAAACCTTCCATTTTTACATTTTCCAACGCTACAGTCATAATAGAAAAAAAATATCAAAAACATATTCAAATCACTTCCTTTCTATGTACTCTCTACCTTTTTGTAATGGCAAAGTAAGAAAGGGTTTTTTGGGACTGAGTTAATTAGAAATAAAACTTATCACACGTACATAAGTATTCAGACAGTTCCTTAGATCTAATGACCTGTTTTATGCTAAGAAATGTTAATTTTCTTGTTTCTGTCCTCGGACAGAAACAAGGGAAAAAAAAGGAACAAAAAGGAATATTTTTTCCTTGTGTCTGGGGACAATTAGTATTTTTTTTTTTTTTCATTTTTATGCTGATTACTAATTAATTACTCATTACAAATACTGTTACTTCTTAGTTTCACCATGCTGCTGCGGATAATCCTGGGTGAGGACAACATCAAGAAGGTCCATTTGGACAAATTACCGGACACGATTGAAGATTTTTGTGACTTTCTTAAGACCGAACTCGGGCTCAGTGGCGAAATTATCATACAGCATCAAGACCCTGACTTCAACATGGAACTCTATAACCTAAACAGCATGTTGGACCTCCCAAGAGACAAGGCAACCCTGAAAGTACTATCCACACGTAAAGAATCATATCACACAGATTCTACAATTGACACAGAAAGCATGCCGTCATCTTCTGATAGTTCCCCAGGAAGAAGTCAGACGGGCCAATTTCCCTTTCCCTTTCCAATCCCAACTTTTGCACATGATGTAGAGTTGAGACTTAGAGGAGCAAATGAAGCGTTCATTAAAAATGGAGATTTATTTGAGACACCGAAAGAAATGAAGAGTGATATGCTAGAGAAAATGGCAGAAGCTATATTTGTCTACACTCTGTACCCAACACGAGAACAGATAAATACTGTGGCTCAAGCCCTTGTGGTCAAGCTTCCTTGCTTGAAAGATCCAGGCTCTGTGTTTGGTTGGTACAACTTGAATTTCAGTTTGAAGTTTAAAGTGGCAAACCACCGCCAGAAGCTGCGCCAAGCTGGATGCCCTCAACTCAACTTGAACAAGCTAGTGAAACGACAAATCCCAGAAAAATAAAAAAGGCTAAAAAGTCAGAGGTTACAGTAACTTCATGCCATGCTATCCAGAAGGAAAACAAGAGAATGACTTGGAAAGGGAAAGGGAAGTGTTAATCCGCAAAACAAAGAAGAAAAGCATTGATTGGAAGATAGTTGATGAATTGATGGAGAACACAATATTCACTTCGGAGAAAAGAGATCGTCCAGGATGAACCCCTCGTTGCGGATGTCCTGAAAAGGTGGCCGGCCCTTTACTTTGTGCGTCAGGTGAGTTGTTGAAAGGGTAGAATACTTATCAAGGTAACTCACTTTAACCACTTTTGTGTCCCTCTCATTTTAGCTCGAATATGAGTTTGCTCGACTTACAGCTGTTAATCTCAGAGAAACACTCATCACTGGAATTGACAAATACCTGGACCGCTTCTTGGAGCTCTTCAGAGCAAAGCGTGCCATCCCGGGTCTGTCGAGTCTCATCAGACAGCTTGATGTAAGTTATGCAAATAATACACATACTACTATAAAAAATGCATCCATGTCTGGCTATTTAAAAAAAAATCATAATTTCTGCAATTGCATTCTTATGCTTTACATATTTTTACAGTGTTGATGTCTTTGGTCTCTGTAGTTTTTGAATCTTTAAGATTAGATGACCATTGTTCATCCCTGTCAGTGTTGTTGCACACATTTAAGAGGAGAAATACGAGCACACTAACAGACTTATTCATTTGGTAAAATTCAATCATAGATGTCACATCCTCCACCCAGCTACCAATTTTTTTTTTCTTGATGATTACCTAATTCCAAAGCTCAATCTGTAGATTTATCCTATTTTATATGCAAGGCATATGCAATTAAAAACATAAAATGTCCAGTAACCATTGATCATAAACTAAAGTTCATAATGTCATTCTTTTATTGAAATGTTTTCGCAGCATGGAGTCAAATATTGAAAAAAAATTTATGTACAGAAATATGCTGCTTCAAAGTTTGTATACGTTTATAAAGATTCATAATGGTTTGTGGATGATCTATTGATTTTTAATATATTAATGATATGCACAATCCATTGATGGAAAAATATTCTCTTAAAAAATCTGTTTTATAATAAAATGCAAATTATTGAGCATATATTTTCAAACTATCAAGTATTAAATAGATCATTAAATTGCACATTCCAGAAGCTGCTTTAGAAATTAACATAGCTAATTTACACTGACTGCTTTACAGAACAATTTGGCTTTGGTTTGCATCCTGAAGAATAATCACCTATCTTTACAGTTGAGGGGGAACCAGATTACATAATGCCTTTCAGTATGAGGGTTTATATAATTTGTTTTGTGTTTTCTCTTTGAGAACTCTGACAACTCCACACACTTCAAGAGGGCCATCCTGCTGCTTGGACTGCCACACTTCCTCAGGGATGACTGTTCTTCTTTTGTTAAAACTGTTGAGGTGAGGTTTCAACATTTCAAGTCTAATCTTTGTGACTTGATCTATATTGCATGTTTTCATTCATCTAAGGGTGTATCTAGATGGGCTAGGATTCATTTTATGTGTAAGCCCCTACCTATTTTAGGTTTTAATAAAAAAATTGCAGACTGATCTTAATTAAGAAAAAAGTGCTGAGTACCGACAGTGGCTCAGTTGGTAGAGCATTGGCCTTTGAGCCTGAAGGTTGTGGGTTCGAGCCCACCATAAGACCTACTTCATGACTCCCACTGATGACTGCTGCCGTTGTGTCCTTGGGCAAGACACTTAACCCCACTTTGCCTGAAGCCCCCGCTGAAAGATCTCAGCTCCTGTGGACTCACCACCTGCAGGAGGATCAGTGAGGAGCTGGTGCTCTGTGTACTGACCCCCCCAACCCAGAAATGGATTAACGGGACGAAAATGAATGGATGGATGGGTGCTGAGTACCCAGTGTTTTCTTTATCAGTGCAGGCCTAGCAATAGCCTGTAGAGGGCTGTACACATTAATTCTGTAGTTTTTTAGGTAACCAATTTACCTGCTATGAATACACACTACTAAACAGGATTTTTTTTTTGTTACAGGCCACTGATGACGAGAAGAGTATGACCAAAGGGATAAAAGTGGGCCTGCTTATCCTTAAAGATGGTGAAGACATTATTGATGTGTCAGTTGTGCTGGAGGAATCTGTCATCCTCAAAGATCTTGGGGATATTCCCACAGCCATGGCGCAATGCTCATGGGGCTTCTTTACAGTTTAAACATATACCTCATTTCCTTGGGATAGTCTACCTTGGAACTTATTCAGAAAGTGCTTATGAACATTGGAGGTGGACATTGTTCTTCCCTGGTCCATGGTGTGCAGAACAGATTACTTCGAAAGAAAATGTGACTTTTAACCTTTAAATGTATGTGATCACCCATTTTGATTGTTTGAATGAATAGGGCCATCACATCTATTTGTCTCTAAGGCAGATGCAATTCAATTACGTTCTCACAATCAGTTGAAAGCTAGTTTAACACTTTTTTTTTTTGCAAGAGGGTGATCCCTGTCTGAAAGAGCTAACAAGTTGCGTTAAATTCAAAGTGTTTTCTGATTTTGATGTACAGTCGCTGTCCATCCCTTTTAATTTCTCCTATTTACAGCTATTACACTCCATGTTTGTTTGGATGGATATTCGATAAGTAAACTACTGAAGCTATACTTATAGCCAAGATTGGATTCTGTAGTGAGAAAATCATTGTTCAAAAGAGTCATTAAGGCATTAATAAGATAGTTCTCTTTGAGTGCAAAGAAACCAGGTTTGTTACAATGAGGGTTGTAAAATTAAGTAAAATTATGGTCAGGGGGAAACCCTAAGCCAAATGGTTTTTGTTTTGATGTTTTATTTATAGGAACAGTTATTTTGAAGCGCATGTTTTGTATTTGCGAGTTCTAAATATATATTTACAATGTAAGTGCTTTTGTAAAAACAATTATTTTATATTTGGATATTTTTGTTAATTTATATTTGGACTGAATTGCGGTCAAATCATTTCTTTAACTCATTGCTTTTGGGTTTAATAGTTCAACTACATATAATTTTCAAATATGTCACAATAAAAATGGTTTTGCCATTAAAAATGTCTGTCTTGTAAATTGCTAAAATGGTCAAATGATTAAAGTATAAAAAAATTGTTTGTATAAAAATAACAATTTGTTTTAATTAAATTAAATGTGTTAAGTTGAATCAATTAATAATAATATTTTGATCCAGTTATACAGAAAGTTGAGGTGAATAGATTTTACAAATCAACTTAGCAATCTTGAGAAAGTTGAGTCAACAATTTTCCCTTATTCGACTCAACTAAATATTATTAATTGAATTGATTGATAATGTCAAGTACCCACAATTAATTATGTAAGTTGAATGAATGAAGACAAATAACTTGATTACACTATACACTTTTAATGGTTTGGAATCAACATTTTAAGGCAGCCCTTGGAATTGTTTTTTTGAGTTGAAGAGGCAATTGCAATTTACAGTGTGGTCACAGGGACTGAGCGAGCAGACTGAAAATACTCGTAAACAGCCAAAACAGGACCCATACCAGGCTTCACCAGAACTCAAACCAGGGTTGACAATGGGGGACTCTGTGCTTGTGAAAATATACGTTGTCATGCTCCCGTGACCTTATGCAACTGCTTCGAGTGTGTTCACCGATGCGGAAATAACGTTTAATAATCTGAAAACACGTATGGCGCACCTCCGTGAACACATACTACTGTTAAATAAAGCCTGTGGAAAGTCTCTGTTCAAAGACACGCTGCAAAGTTGCATATTGGAGAAGATCTGTACACAAGAAGCCGCTAGCATAGCTCTGTTTGCATTAGAGCCGGCCGGCTACTTCTGGTACTTCCGGCTCGCGTCAGGACGTTCTGGAATGAAGTCCTCTGCGTCTGAAAACTAGAGAATGCGCGTCTGGTGAGCGAGGTTTCAGCGTTTGAGCATTTGCGGTCTGAATGCACCTTTAGACCTGCGAGACGCGGCTCGTCACTTGCTGCTCTGACCATGTGAACGAGCTGTCATTTGCTGCTAAAAAGCTTTAACCTGCAGCAAAGAAGAATGGGAAGATTAAAAACTCAGTTCTCTGTGCGCAAAGGTGCCGAAGCTGTTGCAGGTATCGCTCCACTGTCTCGGCTCTGATCCAGCAGAACGCATAGCTGCACTTTGAAAAGTATGTGGCTCGAAATGGCTGTTATTTCAAAGAACGTGGAATATTTTAATCTACGCGGTTAACCGGTTTCAACCGGTTAATGAGGCTCGGTGGTCAGTTTTTTACATCCCTATTTCCTTGTACAAGAATACATTAACTTGTCTTGCCTTGTCGATGTTTATGACTTCCATTGTCATTTTCAAAACATAAAACATGTTATTTCTGTCATATATAGTTTCAATGTAAGTTGAATTACAAACATGAATAGAATGTTGAACCAAATTATAATTATATGAGTTTCACATGTAAATAGAACAAGTATTTTTGTCACCTCTAATTTCAGATCTTTTCACATTTTTGGTCTGTATAATTTCATGTGGAAGTGTGCTCCATGAGTCCCCCCATAAATGGCAAGGCAAGCTTATACGTATAGAACAGATCATAAAAAGAGTGAAGATACAATCATTCGGTTGTTTGCACAGTTAAAAACCTCTTAAAACCCGCCTCATTTTGGCTTGTGCACAAAAGTTGGGCATACCCAAATGTCTTTGCTTATTTAAAAACACATCTTACATCTCACATGCTTGTGTGATGCATCATTTTAAAGCTAGAGCCTTCTAGTTTATGTAAAAAAACACTAAAATAATGTTTGTCATTCCTATTTTCCTCTGCATCCTTTGAAGTTAGGGAAAAAAACCCAATTTTTTTAGCCTCGCCTAACATTTTCAATTTCTAAAGGCCCTAAAAAAGGCATACTTCATTGTAAGTTCACAATATTCAAACCCTCTGTTCATTGTGTTGTTGACAACAACTGTCTAGAGTTTCAGACTTCTAAGTTGTATAGTTTTCATGCAGTTTCTCCTTTTCATCAAGTAGTGCACATTTGGCACAATTTGGCACAAGTGTGCCAAATTGTGCCAAATATCTTTACTTACATTTAATCATCATAAAAACAATATTTTTTATTATTGGTACTTATAAGTTACTAATCTATGTGTGTTTTTCTTTTTTAAAGTTTAAGTTATTTTTTTATGAGTGTAAATTCATTGCAGCTTCGAGAGCGTCTTTTGGCTTCCATTACGCACAATTGTCCAGGCCCAACATAAGACAGGACACCATTGTCCCACCCCTTGTTCGAAAGCTTTCCTCATTGGCTACAAGGACATGTCAATCGTAAATCCCGGAAGTAAAAGCAAACAAGTTGGGATCACAACAAAGATCAGTGATCAATGCGCAAACAGCAGCACTAGCTGTACTCGCGGGAGCTCTTGCAGACCCAAAAATTGGTCTAGCTTTTCGGGAGTAGTCTCATTTGAAAGATAAGGAGCTAAGGAACACGTAGATACCAGATGTTTGGGTGAAAAACAAAGATAAAAGTCCGTTAAAAGTGAAAGAGTAACATCTGTGCTCTTTTTTTTTGTTTTTTTCGCTAAAGATAAATGCACATTTTTGGATTATTTCTGCAGAATGGATTTTACTTTGGGAAATACAAATGGATATGATTTTCCTTTGGACTGTTCCAGAGAGAATGATGTATTGCAAGCTGGGAGGAGAGCTGATTTATTTGTACAGCACAAGCCCAAAGGTAAAAAACTATTTTGGAATTGATTTATTTTGTGCCCACATTATGTGTTATATCTTTTGAATGCAAAGTCTGATGTAGTTTACACTTGTATATAAATGTAGATAAGAAAATAAACTTTAAAATGATATACAGCTTTTGGGGTTTGGTGTTCAAAATACATCTGCTATTGCCAGCAGAACATTTAAAAACATAAAAACGGCCGCCGGCGCGCCGTTTGTTGTAAAAAGGCTAAACAGACCTGTTTTAACTTGTATTTGAACAATGTCAGAGTAGAAGGCAAGTCCCTGTGCTCCTCAGGGTCAGAGTTGGTTCATATGGCACTAACATGTCAAAGATATTATTTGGTGCCAGGCCATGGAGAGACTTGCACAGAAGCAAAGTTGCTTTAAAGTCTATTCTCTATTGAAAAACTGGACTAATTTGATTGTACTTCAGTCAGGACTCGAGCTGCAGGGTTTTGAATATACTACAGCTGGTTGGGAGAGACCAGTGAGCACGGCCAAGTGAAAAGTGAAACAGTTATTGTGAAACTGCTGAATTCCTCTGCCACAGCTGTGATTGCAGCAGCTGTTTCTGCTGGTTCTGAAATTTGAAAAACGATTCATTTTCCCCAGTTTTATGGAATTTCAGAGGCGATGTTGGAATGTACCTTACATCTATTGTACAAATAATGAGAGATAATAAAGAACTAGTAGCACCCACGGGATAACCACACTAATAATTGCAATCACAACATCACATCATAACACAATAGGCCATATTTTTTAAAACAGAGCTTCTACACATGCACACGGGGCCTGGTTAAGTGTTGCCGCTATGGTTCTTAATTTTGCCAACTTAGCAATTTTTGCACATCCAAACCAAGATAGTTTTAATGGAGGGGAGGAGAGCAGAATATGAAGCAAGGCAGATCAGAGGCGAGGAGGAGGCGTAGGGCCGATAGGTGAATGGGTTCACATCGAAGACAGGCAGAGGGAATAGACAGAAGTGCTATCTAAGCTCCTGAAAGAAATCTGCACACCACTGGCTTTACATTAACCAAATCTCCTCCAAGTAACTAAGCTGGGATGTGAGCCATCTGGAGCAGGCATGTCCCAACTGCAGCCTGTGGATGACACGTGACCCTCAAAACAATGTTTCAAAGGCCCTAACAGAAGTTAACAATCCACTTTAAAAAAAACTCAATATCAAACGTTCATGGGGCCGTATGTAATATTTACATTTAAAATTACATCAACATCTTCAAATGTAAATGTGCACTTTATTTATCTCCGTAGGGAATAAATAATGTATTGACCCATCCTGCAATACCACTAGGACCTCTGTCAAGATGCCGTAGTACAGCGCCCAGGAACCCATCCCCAGATATTGATACTCTGCTTGGTCATGACTAGAGAATTTATCTATTGTTTTTAGTAGTAGGTTAAACCAGAGGATATCCCTAACTGGGATTGGAACCTTGCTATCCACTCAGCCAAC